TCGGTTTTCTCATCTATAAAATGGAAATAATAATAAGGATTATGTATAATAATAATGCAGTTTGTGAGGGTTAAAGACACACATTTAGCAAAGGGGTACTGAATACTAGGTCTACCTTGGACACTGTGCCAGGCACTCAAGTGAAACAGTGGACAAGGTGGACAGCATTCACTGTCCTTTGAGGCTTAGCAGTTAAATACCAGGTGCGTAGTAGGTTGCTTCAATAAATCTAACTAATACCAGCATCCTTTCCTTTACTGTCTTTTTCTGGCATATATAAAGTACTCAAGAAATGTTAGAAAATATTACTGGACAGAAAATTCTCTGTACAGAATCAGGAAGGGGAAGGCGTTTGTTAAAAAGAAAAAAAAAAGATAGTGGACATTGTTTAAACCTCCAAGAACTAGCATTTTTAAAGCCTGTAGAAGTACTCTGTGCTCCCAGTGGATGGACTAATTTTGAGTGACCTGTAGTAGTTCATTACAGCAAGTTTGCTATACTATGTACTTAGCGGTTCTTAATAGCCATTAATTTGGGCAGCTTGAAAAGTAATCAAGTTGTGGTTCTTGACAGGTTCCTGCCTTTGAATTTTGACTTCATGAATCCAGACTCACCTTTTCAGAATTGGGGAAAAGCCTGGGTGTTTCAGAGCAAGTACTGTGAAGAGAGGAGTTCATTAGAGAGAAAGAGAGGGCGCATGGGGAGGCTAAAGGAGGTCTGAGGACCGCCACCAGCCCTTCCCACAGACAATGGCCCTTGAAGGCTTGAGTGGCTCTCTCCAAGTGCTCTTCTTCGAGTCACTTGCTCACTGGCAGGTAGAAATGAGGACACTCCTCCTGGACTCTTGCCCAGACTCCTTGCTCAGAAGCCATGACTGCCCAGGGCTATTGGATGTTCCTCCCCAGGAGACAGCCAAGTTCCAGTCCCTCGTGGGTGTGGAAGGAGGAAAGGACGGTGAGGTCAGGGAGAGTGTTTCCAAAAAGTCCCCTGTCCCCAAGGGAAGCTCTGAAGGGTTAGCATTGGCAGTAAATCCAAGTTTGTCTGGCCTGTCTGCTGGAGGCCCAGAAGTGCTCTGGGCCTGCTTTGCTCCTGTTTCTCAGTTCTTGATCCTCAATATACCCTGTTCTCTAAAGTCATTTATATGCCAGTTCCATCAAACGGAAACTGGGCAAGTCCCATTTGATCAGAAGGACCAGAGAGAGAGAAGAAGGGAGGTGAGGAGAAGGAGAGATGAAGGAGACGGAAGGAAAGACAGAGAGAGCCTTTAGACTTCCAGATGAGTGACCAGTCCCGAGTAGGAGAGGAGGGTGAGTTGTGGTTATGACAACAGGCTGTGCCCTCCGAGAGGGACAGCCATCGACACCCTCTGTCATGTTGGCCTTCTCTTATCTGTGCATCTATTTCCCCTTGTGCAAGATTCAGAACTGCTCGCTCCAAAGAAACAATAAAAGCATTCATGTTTATAAGAACTGCTCAGGTGACAGTTATTTACTGATATTGGTGTACTTACTACTATCAATATGTTGAGCTCTGACCTAAAATTGTTTGGGTTTCCCAAGCAGAATAGAAAAATCACAGTATGTTTCTGTGAAATAATTATCCTCTTTGGCGTCTCCCTTTACAGGCCTACTGGTCTTGGCTTTCATTTAGGTGAAGGCTTGTGAAAACAGGTTATTAATTCCCTTTTGTGATGAACTCCTCTTATTGATTATAAACTCCCTTGTCGCTGAGACCATCCCAAGCCTGAATTCCATTGTCTGCTTGACCCTGGGCACTGCTTCCACGTGGGAGAAGAGGGCTCAGTAAGCACTGTCTAAAAATAAATACAGAGCATGGTCGTGCGTGTATTGAAGGGGGATAGGATGGTATTTTGCTACCCCTTTCAAGACCCCCAGGGCTGCCCAGTCTTGGAGGGGGTGGCATTTCCTCTCCCTCAAACAGCTTCCCGTCGTTGCATTATTCCTTTGGTCTTTGCCTAAAACCAAAGTCACTTTTACAAAAAAGTCACTAATTTTTCATCCCAAGAGATGCAAATCTGGAGTTTGGGCAAGTTTGAGGGAGCTTGGCAAGTAACCCCCAGTGTATGTCAGACAAGAATTCGCAGGGCCCCGTGCAGACTGGAAACGTAGGCCCTGTTCCTAAATTATGAAGAATGTTGTCACCAAACATTAGTCCAAGCAAGGAGGTCCCTCTGTGCACTCCCACTCCCCACACAGGCCGCACCCCTGCAGCAGCCCTGATGTCAGGGGAGGGCTGTTGAGAGTGCGTATGAAAATCTAAGTGAGGCTGATTACCTAACAAAGTTCCATGGGGTGGGGGTACGGGTGGGGGTGGGAGGTGGTTATAGGCGTCTAGTGAAAATGGAAACAGGCCTGTTGACACAAATCCAGAGTCCTCTGGCTCCGTGTGGTCAGCTCTGTAACATGCCCATTGTCCTGAGTGTGCAGATGGCTGCTGAAGCAGGACTGGTTCCAGGAAGGTGCCCTCACCCTCGCTCCCTCGGGACACACTAGACACACGGGCTTGCATTTGTGAGATGACTGCCCAGGGCTAGCCACCACCCGCCCCCAGGCCCCGCCCCAGCAGAGCCTACTCTGGGCATTAGCCACGGGCCCAATCAGCTTTCTACTTTGTGACACGTTCTCACATCTCCCTCCCTGAACAGACTGATGCATGAAGGGGACGCAGTGTTGATGGATTCTCCCCACGCAGCAAACCCAGAAGGTACCCCCATGGCATGCCGGAAGGTACCTTCTCTGGGACTGCTTAGATGGGAGCCATCAGCTGGCCTTAGGAAACAATATTTTTTCTTTTAATTGGAGATAACTTGAGGAGACAAGAGGGTAATGGTTAGAACACTTCCTACAACTGAGTAGTGTATAGTTATTAAAACACGGATGTTGATGTATATTTGTAAAATAAAAAGATACATGTAGTATTAAATGGAAAAATATTTTACAACAGTTTATTTGGAATACGTTTAGTATCCTATTTTTTAAAAAGCTCTGTGTGTGTGGATATAACCACATACACCCACAGCAGTACCCACACGGAAAAAATTTAGTAGTCCTAAGTGGTGAAAAGTATGGACATCTTCTTGCCTTTATAAAAAAAGTTGTAAAAATGTATCACTTGTAATCGAAAAAGCTCAAAGTCAACATTATAAAATTTTTGTTTTAGAGTAGTACTTGGTGCAACAAGATTCGACTTCTACTATGTGTCTCACCAATCAATCCAGGGAGATTTCTAAGGACTGGTTTGTGGTATATCACAATAAAATATTGTGCTCATCTTCAGAAAACTGAATCTCATATTAATGCTGCACAGTGAATACCAAGATTTTTTTCATTTGAGTCTGTCTTGCTTATAATTGTTTTGACAGTTTCAGAAGAATCATAGGTTTTTGCCTTTTTTGCACTAAAAGTGCATGAGACTTTGGGCACATTGCTTTTTGGTGACACGGGTGCTGGTTTGGTGTTTGCTTCTGAGGCTGGTTTGTCTGGCTTTGACTTGCTTGTGGACCCTCCATCTTGGGGCTGAAGTACATGTGGGCCAGGGAGCCTTTTTCCCTTCTGTGGTCACTGGCTGTACCCCTAAACCACACACCAGCCTTGGAAATTCATGTCACAAATAGGACTAGTTCAGTGGCTTTCAGAAATAGATGAAAACCCCTCCCACCCAGAAAAAATGAGTGACGGTCATTCATATCTTCTTCATGACTAGTACTGATATTACTTAAATTGAAAATATGTATTCCATATGCACCATAAAAGCTATTATATATACACATATATATGGCCTCTGCCCGCACAGTTTTCAGCCTAACTGGAGCGGGTAAGTTCCCTCCATCAGTGTCCAGGTCTCTGCTGAAAACAAGCCTCACAGCTCAGATCCACACATGTGAACCGAAGAGATAGAGGCGCCCCCTCCCCCCCCGGAAAAAGTGGCCTGATTTGGATTCAACAAATAGACTCAGTTTGCTGGTCAGAGAAGGATCCCCTCTGAAGGTTTTTCCAGCACAGCATAAATGAGGACACTTTGTTGAGGTCACAGATTTCTCATCTACAGAGCTCCCAGATATCATCTACTGATAGAGGCTTGAGGCTTACAAGGTGCAGGCCCGCATCCCAAGTGTGAAGCGCACACATCCTTCCTTCTGCCTGCCTGGTGCGAGACCTTTCCGAGGTGTTGTCGTGGTTGACAGTGCGGCGTCGAGATATTCACTGTTGCCTCCCAAAGGCAGCTCTTCCCAGATGGTTTTCTCTTTTTAAACCAATCTCAGGAGCCAGCCGTCTGTCAGCAAAACAAGAAGGTTTGGGTGTTCTCTCGGCCTTGTTTTGCTGCCATCGTGAGCTTCACTTCCCCTGTGTAACAGCGCTGGTGAAGTCTGAGGCAAGGCCCCTGAACGAGTGGGGGACAGAGACAGAAGCACCCGCATTGCCCGTCTGCCAGACTGGAGGTGTATTCATTATTGATGGAGGGAGTGCGGTAGCTGCTCAGATATGCAGCCCTGCCTGGGTAAATGAGACATTCTTCAGCAAATTGCTTCGTTTTTTGATTGCTGATTGTACGCGTGTCACCAAGCTGACTCAAGGTTCATCGATGCATGCTCAGTAAATTAGAAAGAACATAACTATGGATCAGCCAAGAGAATGAATTCTGTGCCTACAATGACCCAGGGCCATTTAATTTTCTGCTTAATTTTGTTGCAGTCAGTTTGCATTTTGGGTTATTATGCAGTAGGAAATTAACAATAAATAACAAATTTGGTCCTCCTGTGCTTGTAATGATATTTTTATAAATCTTTGTAATGCTGTTTTTAAAAGGATCAAGGTCTGTGCCAGTCCGATACTCCAGCAAGTATGTGAGGAGGAAAATGCATTATTCTTAGTAGATAACCTTGTTGTTAAATACACGGGGCTTCTTTATCTCTCTTTCTCTCCCTCTCATATCTTATTAGTACTTTTCTTTAAACTAAAATCCCTTCCTCTCTTTCTCAGATAACCTGAGGACAATGGACGCTGATGAGGGTCAAGACATGTCCCAAGTTTCAGGTGAGACTTTGTGAGACACGTGTATGGGGGGAGTCCATGAGGACTGCTCCACTGGGGACCAGAAGTCAAGATGCTTGTCGTGCTCATGGGGAGGCAGAGGGGCTGTTCTGCAAAAGGAAAGACCAAGGTGGAATTTATGTTAGTGTTTAATGTCAGCTCTTAGAGTTTATCGCCATTTGAGAAACTGAACAGAAAAATCTCCAAGATAAAATTATTTTTACTGTTAAATCTTGAGAGCAACTTGGAAAGGATTCAATATATGTTGGTACTCATGGAGAGAAAATGATGACTGATCTGCTCTACACCCCAAACACATGCCAATAATGAGTTTAAAAGAGAGAAAAAAAGAGGGAGGAAAGTGGGGGGGAGAGAGAGAGAGAGGGAGACAGAGAGAGAAAGAGGATGGGAAAGAAGTAGAGGGAGAAAGAGAAAGGGAGAGAACGAGAGAAAGAGAGAGGGAGACGGGAAGAGAGACAGGGAGAGAAAAAAGAGAAGAAGTAGCTTGAAAAACATAGCTAAGGGTCACAAGTCAGAATATTTGTTAAGCGTGCAGCAACATTGCTCCCCTTCACCATGTTTATTCAAGTCATATTGGACATAGCTCTTCTCATCATAGGAGACCCAGGAAGCAGACAATAAGTATCAGGAGATGATCCTAAGGATGGATCACAGACTGTCCCAATGGGTGATACTGAGGAGGATGAACCTCCAGCCAGTCTAGCAAAGCCTACACAGCTCCCATATTCATAGGCATAGAGAGCTCACCTTCTGCCTGGCCTTGTACCTAGAGGTGTCAGCAGCAGCAGCAGCCTCCATGGGCTTTGGGTTTTGAGTATTTTATCTTTTGAAGCCTCACAGGCTCATGGTCAATCCCAGGTTGGCTTCTATGCAAGAATGGCCTTTCATTGTCTTCTGGGCTTGGCCCACCTGCCCCTACTTGTTTCCAAGTTTTTGTTGAATTCTGCATCTCTAAGTCAGCCCTCATGATGGAGACTGGGACTGAGTGAGTGGCTGCTGCCCTGCTTGGTGGCTGCTCACCAGAACTGTGCAGGAAAGGAGATATAAGTCCCATCCAACTGGAGGAAGACCTGCTACAAATCACAGACCTTGTCCTCCTCCTTTATGCCAGTTACTCCTCTCATTTGGAAAGTTGGGACTTAAAACTTTCCAGGCTGCAAAGAACAAGCAAGACTGTCCTTTTCTGTTGTGGCATTTAGGCCCTTCATGTACAGGTGATGGAAGTGAAACTGGTCAGCGAGGTTGGCACATCTGTATAAACTAAAACTGTACTGAATGAGTTGACCCTAGAGATGCCCTTTCCCAAGTGTTCAGAGTATTCAAGTGGATGCTCACAGCAGCATTGGTACTAGTATTTGAAAAATATGGTACATCCACGCACTTGTTCATTCAGCTCTTAAAAGTGAGGATGATATGAATATACTAGTAAGGAAATATGTCCAAGATATATGTGAAAGTGAAAAAAGCATGCTTCAGGATGGTCTGCAAAGCGTGATCCCATTCTTGAACATGAAAACAAATTATGCACACACACACACTTTCTACATGCTTGCGTATACATTCAGGAAAGTTCTGGGGTGATGTTTGTTAACCTGGACCTCCTCTCGGAAGCTTAGTGATAGAAGGAAGGGATGGATTAGGGAGGAAGTGGTGGGAGACTTTTGCTTTTCATCTTCCTTTCGGCACTATTTGAATTTCTTCCCCTTAGGCACATACTTTATTTCTTAAACAGAAGTACAACAACACAACAACAAAAATACTATTTAAATGAAAAAACATTTGGCTCTTTGAAGCCTCTCATTTGGCTTAACTGGGGTCTGGTCCCTGCTGGCCTGAATAAGCCTGCTCTGAAGGAGATGTGTGGCCCTTCCCCGGGAAGCAAGTCCCATCCCCTGGGACTGTGGCTGGAGGTGATCAGAGTGTCAAAGCATGAGATGTTAAAAATTCCACAGGTGAAAAGAGACCCTTCCATTGTTTCTCCTTGTTGCTTGTGGTTTCTTGTTACCATGGATAGCTTCTAAATTGGCATTTTGCATGAGGCATTTAAAGAAGAGGCGACCCCTCAGATCGGTTTGGAGTCTACACTCTGATGTCCCAAAGCCAAAGCTGAAAGCCCTAGCTGAGGAGGCATCTCTAATATTTCCTCTGAGGAACAGTTGGTGAATATTCTGACCTCATATCTTGGTAACAAAAATAACAAATTTTTCTGATTGTCTTCTCCTCTTTATCTTGCCCTTAACATTATGCTAAATACTCCACTTGTTCTGGATGCTGGCTGTTTAAAGGGGAGGGTAGCTGGGGTTCGGGACAAGAATAAAGGGAGGACACATGATACAAGACTGGCTGAAAAAGGAAACTCTTCTTTGGTTGAAAACATTTAAAGTTTGGTTTGAAATTTAGTTTGTCTATACTTAGCAAAGGAAACGCTTCTTCTGAAACACTAATAGGACTTTACCTGAAGCATTCTCACCACTGATTAGAACATTTGAAGAGTTGTACCATTTTCACCAAAGATTTGAAGGATGCTTTTCTACTTCTTGTTGCTTCTCCAATTAAAACCCAACCACATCACTTTTTTTTTCATTTCTAAAATTAAGGGAAATGGCAGTTAGTTATGGAATAAGGATGTACATTTAGCCAACCAGGAGTTGACATTCTTGATATGACATCTGAGGAATATGCTACTGAATCATCCTCTTTTCCTATAAAATTATTCAGTGCTGTCCACAGGAAAGAAAAAAATAGGTGTCCCTAAGATGGACACTTTGCAATTGCCACTTTCCTATTTAAAGAATGTTCCAGTATCAGCAATTTCATAGGGGTCAACCTGATACATATGAAATACTCACTTGAAAAGCAGAGAAATACTTAATATCTGCCTTTTTTTTTTCTGCAAACCACCTGCTTCTTTCTTCCCTGGTATTTATCCTAAATGTGGACTGACCACTATTTATGGTTAATAGTGCCTTGTGGGTAGTAGACACTCAGTAAATGTTTATCGACTTACGTCCACAGGGTTTGGACAATGCTATTGAATAGGCTTGGAAGAGAGTTTATCTAAAACAAGCTATTCTTTCCTTTTGGGCACATCTCATTCATTCTTTTGGTAAGGTTTTCTTTTTTTTTCTTTCTCTGCTGCTTCTTTGGTAGGCTTTCCAAAATATTTTTCATGCATGTGCATTATGTTCTGTTTTGGTTGCTAAGGGGAGAGTCAGCCCGTGGGAGTTGAGAGACCTGTATCAGCCTCCCATCTCTGTCCCCAGCTATGGGACCTGAGATAGTTTTCTTTGCCTCCTGGGCCATTGTGATGTCATCTGCAAAATGAGGGACTTGAGCCAGTTATCTTTAAGGATCTTCTGGCTCTTTCGACCCTAAAGCTACATTGGATGTTTTCTTAATGATATTTATAATATTTGTGGTAACACAGAAACAAGAAATATGCCCTGTAGACATATATAATCTGCTTAGGGAAATGAGGCTCGTCTATACTGAAGTATCAATGGAAATATTTTCTCTCTAGTTAATCATAGTAAATCACATTGACTGAATGCTTTATATTTACCATACACTGCCCTAAGCGTTTTTCTCATTTCAACTTTATAAGCACCCAGTGAAGAAGACACAGGTACCGTCTTCAATTTGCATGGAGCTGAGACTCAGAGAATTTCAGTAACTGACCAGAAGTCCCATAGGGAGCCAGACATGGCACTGGGATGCACAGCCCAATTTGGACCCTGGAGTGCAAGCTTCTCCACTGTTCTATAGAGCTGAGATTCTATATTCTGAGTCTTTATTTACCCCCAGGAATTATGTTCACCTGGGTAATTGTATATAATAAAAACTCAGGCATTTGGAAGACAGGGGATCACAGAAGTTTGCTGGGTAAATTATAATCTACTCGAGAAATTATTTGCTTTCTGTTGATAAGCTAATTGTACAATTTTCTCATCTAATTTGCCCAAAAATCTTCTCATAGGTAATTCTTTATTTGAAACATAGGCAGTAGGTAAATGAAATATAAATTGGTAAGAAGTTTCTTTCATTTTTCTAAACAAGTGAAATCGTATTGTGCCTCCTAAATTGTTCTGTTTAAATACTTGATTTCTGGCTGTCTACACGTCTGTGCCTTGAGTGTCATGATACATGAATTTAGGGAAAATATGGACACTTGGTGCTACACATCCCATATGTTTCTACAGTGTTTTACAGTTTATAAAGTAATCTCATGAGCTCGTTTAGCGTATTAGCATTCATACACGTTATTGTTGTTTTATCTTTACAACAACCCTGTGAGTGAGGCCAAAATCATGGTTTTAGCCTCATCTTACTGTCGAGAAAAGAGTCTTACAGAGGACTTATTCCACATTCCTGTCAGTCCTACAATTGGTTAAACCGGAACTATATCCCAGGTCAACTGGCTTCAAGTCATAGTGTGTTAATATTTGAGATGTGTTGACTTGATTTAATAATTTTTTTTTTTTATAATATTTCTATGGTTTTGCATTTTAAATGGTTAGCTGGGAAAATTTGTTTAAAATCAACCCATAAAAATATTTTGCCTAACATGAAGGTTTTCTCGAAGTGGTAAATGTTCGTTGTGGAAATATCTCCAGCACTGGAAGAATCCAGGGGTCACTGAGTAAGGCTCCTGCAAGCGATTAATGTCTCAGCAGCCACTACTCTAACTTTAGGGGCTTTTAGGCAAATCAGATGACCTCTTAAAAACTATCACTGAGTGAAGGCGAGGCAAGGTTGAATTACAGCAGAGCTCTTGGAGGGCACATGAATATATCTAACTCTGCTCTCTTCCAGTTCTGACTTTCTACTAGACGCCGCTGCACATGCTGAAGCTGATTTTTTATTCTCTTCTCTCTGTGTGTTTCTTCTGCATAAGGAGCTCCTATTGATTAGTCTGACCCACGGCATTTTAGACTCGTGATCCCTACTGTTTTCATCATTCCTTTCTCTCCCCCAGGTAGAAAAGAATAAAAGTACTGAGATACAAGATGAGGGACGCTGGAGAGCTGGCACTTAGTTCAGGGCAGACTGATAGAATTCTTAAGAAGCACGTCTATTATTCCAGGCATCCTCAACAATTTATAGTTGGTCTTGTTCCCTAATAAACAGACCAGTTAATTTTTTTGAAAAAGTAATCAAGAGTTATTTGGACATATTTTAGCATGAATTGAGCAGAAAGACAATATTCCCTCATCAGATAAGTCCTGATTCTTCGTGATCCTCCCTTGGTTCCAGTGTGCCCTGATACTCAGCCTGTCCCAGACCATCGTGGAGTACACCAAAGTTATCACAGGGAGATCTTAATAGGAAAATCTTAATAGGAAAATATGTTCATAAAGTTTAATTTCTCAACCTCCCACCCCATGATAACGACAGCTGGTTAATCACCGACACACACACGCACACCACCACACTCTGCACATTCAATCATTGGGTCAGTTTGTTAGGCCAGAGGTCTCTGCTGTGAGTTCTGGGGAGGTTCTTCAGGGGGTCTTTGAGAAGGCAGGGGGCTGGGTCTCTGATCTTCCTGTGTCCCCACCCTGCAGTGTCCCCACTTTACATGGAAGACTGGTTTTATCTGTTGAAGTTCCATGTAAGATTATTCTTACCAAAAAAAAAGAAAAGAGATTCCTCTGACCACATCCCTGAAGTCCTTCAGGTTTGAAGGCCTTCGTTCTAGGCAGTCATGAGGAAAAAAGAGCTGTCAGTGATTCAGGGACTCCTTGCATTCTCCTAATCAGAGCTTTTCCCCGCTTATGAAATCAGAGAAAACTAACACTAAGACATTTTGCTATTGTTACTTTTAAAGTCTTCTGTTTAGGGCAGTGAAAATATTCCTGATGTAGTGCACATTTACAAGGCTTTAGTGTAACCCGGGCACTTCAATCAATTTCTCTCTGGCCTTCTGTTTTTCCTCAGGAAATTCTTCTAATCCTGCCCCATCTTTAACTCTTCATCTCGTGTTAGCTATCTAAATATGCCCAATAACATTCTTTGTGAAAATACACCAATGGGGGTAGTTACCGCTAAACTGGAAGATAAGTTGCCAGCCCAGCCAGCAAATAGGCAATCCCAGGCTGTTGATTTTCTGGTAACTTCCCTTTAGAATTTTAATCCCGACTGGTCTTCTGCAGCAGCTCAGATGGGTTATTTTAAATCAATTTAGGACCTCACCGGCTGTTTCTTGAGTGTGGTTTGTGTTGTCCCCTAACTCAATTTCAAGTTACATCTAGAAGGTTAGAAGATACAGGGGTTTCAGTTTCAAAAGAAAAAGATCATTTTCTAACAGTCATGGCTTCCCAGTGTTGGACTCCTGGGAGTGAGAGAGAGAGTTCCCCACTGCTGGACCCTCTGGTGAAACTTAATTCTAATTCAGTCAAAATAGATATAGGCATCCTGTAAAACCCTATTTCATTTGGTAAATCCTACCTTGTGAAATATAAGCAACTTTGGTAGTCGTGTGGGTTATATTTTATTTTCATATTTCAGAGACAAGAATTCGCATTGGCAGACTTTCTGTGCATGCGCGGGGGACTCATGTTCCTGGGAGGCAAAGGATTCCCCGTTCGTTCTCCTCCCAAGCTTTCCATGCCCACCAGCTTGAATCAAATTAGGCAGCTGCCAGAGTATTCCCTGAGCCTTGAAAAGAAGGTGAAGAGACCCAGAATGTGTAGCTCTGAGCAGGGACTGCAGTCTGGTGACCCTAAAACACTAATATGAGGGTGTGGCGAAGCACGCTTAGAGGAGAGTAAATTGGAATGATTTTACGGGGAAAATTTGGCATAACACATGAAGAGCCTTAAAATGTAGATGCCTTTTGACCCAGGCATAAAACTTCTGGAGATTTATCTTAAGGTGATTATTGAGAACATGTGCAAAGATTGGCCATCAGGATGTTCACTACATTTTTTTATTAATAATATAAAACATTGTGGGGCTGGCCCCGTGGCCGAGTGGTTAAGTTCGTGCGCTCCGCTACAGGCGGCCCAGTGTTTCGTTGGTTCGAATCCTGGGCGCGGACATGGCACTGCTCATCAGACCACGCTGAGGCAGCGTCCCACATGCCACAACTAGAAGAACCCACAACGAAGAATACACAACTATGTACCGGGGGGCTTTGGGGAGAAAAAGGAAAAAATAAAATCTTTAAAAAAAAAAAAATAATAATAATATAAAACATTGAAAACAATATAAGTTCAAAAGTAGAAAAAGGATTTACATAAATCCTAGTATACCCATGCAATGGAGTATTACACAAACATTGTAAATAAAGTTGTGGAAGTATGGTCTCACTGGCATGGAAAATTGTTCATGAGCATGTCTAAAAACTAGTTTATTTTGATAAAATATATCACCATATATTATCTATGATATATAAACATATATATTGTGTGTACACATACACACACAAGCATACACCATAATTTTAATAGTGATACTCTCTAGGTGATTTTAATTGTTTTTCCCTTTTGCTCATCTATGTTCTCTCATTTTTTGGTGTGGCAATGATATTCTTTTATAAAAAGTAAAGTAGATTTTAATCCCCACAGAGAAGCATTAGCTCAGTCCAGTAACTTTCCCCTCAAGCTGTCCTCTTAAGGCAAGCCAAGGTGAGGCCCAGGCACTTGGGGCCTCCCCTCTGGTCTGTCCATGGTGAGTATGCCCCCCCAAACTCAAGCTCCTACTTGTCTCCTCAGGGAAGGAAAGCCCTCCAGTAAGTGACACTCCAGATGATGGTGATGAACCCATGCCTGTCCCTGAAGACCTTTCCACCACGTCTGGAGGACAGCAGAACTCCAAGAGTGAGAGAGGAGTGGGTGAGTTGGGTCAGCCCAGCATCCTGTTAGCAGGTTATCACATGCTCTATTCCTATAAAACTTTTGTATCTTTATATTCTTCCAGAGACGGTGATTAGGTGACATGAGTTGTTTTATCTGTTGCATCCCCTCAACCAGCAGGTCAACGTGTCCATGAGACCCACATGCACAGCAAAATGGCAGAGTTGAGGAGCACCCCCACCACAGGGGGCACATTACTAGCATTATCCTGTGTCCTCAGTGTGCTGTAGGAATATCCAATTTTATGGATTGTAGATAATGAAAGTTATGCATTTTATGTGTTATGGTAATAAGGCTATTTGTTTTTAGAACTTTGCTTTAGAAGGAGCCAAATCTGGCCATTTTATGTCATCTCTCTCATCTCTATTTCTTAAATGTCAAATTTAACTGAAAATAGAAAATTTGATAAATACAAATTTTTAAATGTTAACAATAAATCTAGATGATCTCAGTTAGCGTACATTTACATACCTTTCCCATAAAGAGGTAAGTATGGAAATATTGTCAATCTCTCTCCTGGTTAACTTACATATGCCACGGTTCATCTTAAGAAAACCTAGCCCACCCTTTTTATTATAAGAAAACAGAGCCCCAGAGGTGTTCAGTGAATTAACCAAAGTCAAATAGCAGAGTCAGAATTAGACTCAACTCTGACTCAAAGACTAGTTTTCACTCCGTTATGCTACCTTCTCATGAGATAATGAGTCAACAGTTCCTTGGAATACCTATTTTCTTTTTTAAAGAAAAGAACTGTGATATTGAGAGCCACTTGTTTGCACAAAACAACATCGTGAAGGGTACACAGGTCAAAATGAGGTAGAATGGACCACATGTGGATCGGCTGCATAAGTCCCCACAGCCAAGGAGGGCAACGTATGTGAAGCTCTCAGGGCGATGAAAATCACACAGCTCTCTTTCTACAGGACATTCTGATGTAATAACTAAGAAACGTATTGTGTATGTTTTCTTGTGTCTTAGAAACCAAGTAGATGTTGTGTATAATGGTTCTTTTTATAAAATTTAGCTATACAGTTAATTAAACAGACAAGGTTAGTGGCTAAAGCCGTTTGATGTGGATGAACCAAGAAAACAAATCTGTGAAGTCTTTTTCCCCATTAGAATATGCCTACTATCTGTGGGAGAGCAAATGGGAAGAGAAGCGTTTGTGGATCTTCCACTCTGTTCTGCACACATCATTTCAGGGTTTCCCAAATTTGAGGCACAGAAGAGCGTGCTTTACTCCAGTTGATGCGTGTACTCTCAAGATTGTCTTCTGTTTATTGCAAGTGATACTGGTTTATCATCACCATACTGCTACAAAGGTTCCTTTCAAAACACATTTACATAAATTAAAAAGTTAAATTTAAATAAAAGCATTCAGCTAATGATGGTGTGTATATATGATAAAGATTTGTAGAGGCAATGTATGAATGGCCAATGTTGGGGCAACCCTGTGTTGTCTCATTGTTTAGTCCCTGAAGCAACCAGTGAGTCAGGAACTGTTCTCTGCACTTTACACATCAATAAGCAGATGCTCATAATTTACCCAGGACACAGAGAGAGGGTCTCAGGGACCAAAAGCAGAAGAAATTATACAAATACATATCCACTAAGCATTTAATGAACCGAGACACCAGACATGAGAGTTAGGACACTTGGGGTCATTGTAGAGAAACCAGGGAGCTCTCCCTGAAATGCCGGCAGCTGCCCTGCAGCCTGCGAGCCTTAGTCGCCATGGGCATCCTTTAGAGAACTGAAAGTCAGGTTGATTCCTGGAGAGTAAAGAACAGCGCACAGTTCGCTTGGTATAGGTAAATAAACCATTGTTATAAATGCCATCACGATCTTCTAAATATATCACCCCTTATGAACTTCAAGTTGTTCCCCTGGAGAGAGGTCATGGGGCCTCTGGTGGGGTCTTCTGACTGGCTTCCAGACTGCGTTCTCTTGGTTGAGATTTGAACTCTAGGTCTCAGCAGGAACCTTGAGCAGGTGTGGCTGCAAAGCTGGGGCTCCTCTGTGGTTTCCTGTGGCCTCCTCCCAGTGTCCCCTTGTTCTCCATGTGTGACACGATTCATTCTACTTCTCCTTTTAGGATAAAGCTTATCGAAATTGAATTTCAGAGTTGTGAAATTTAAAACACCCAAAAAGCCTCTGCTCGGTTTGTAATTAGCAGCTGACATAGCCACATGCACAGCAAAGAAAGCCATCTGAAGTGGGTGCCAAAACACTATTTCATAGAGTGAACGCTCACCTGGTGGGCTGGATGCCAAAGGAGCAATTGCTCACTGTAGGGAAACCAAAGAATGCCAAAGCATAGATGAGAGGTGAGAGGTATGAGGGGAAGAGTTGGTGAGCGAGAGAATCCCAGGAGAGCAGATTGTAGCAAGAGGCATCAAGGTAATCAACACCCCCTCATGGCAAGGAAGTTTTAGAAACCATCCTTTACAATTGTTGAAGGGAATCAGCCAGCGTTAGTATGTGGTGATAGGTTGCTTATTGAAGTAATTTGTAATATGTAGCATTATGCAAAGTAGGTATTCAAATAGCATTAGGAGACAATATAAAAAGATAAGAGACTTGGTAGGTTGAAGGAAAAGGAAATACATTTGAAGCCATATTTCATCAGCTCCACGGGAAGAAGCCAGAAGAGCAAAGGAGCGTCAACAGGAAACGAGAAGGAGCCCCTCCCTGCACAGAGTAGTGAAGCAGGAAGAGGAAGTGCCACTGAGGGATGCAGCACAGGAGGTGCAGAAGGGGCGGAGAAGGCCCTGTGGCAGCGCCAGAGGCTACAGAGTGGATGCCTCTTAGAGATGGAAAGGCCACGTCCAAGCCCCGCCCCCAGCTGGCTGCCTCTGAGCAAAATTTTCGCTCTGAGCCTCAGTTTCCTCATTTTCAAGTGGCAGAAGTAACCAAGCATGTCTCACAGAATGGCTTGGAGGGTTAAATGAAAGATGTAAATATGCTTTACTGAAGACAGAATAACAAAGGCATAAAGTAAAAAGGACAGTAAAAGGCAGAGCAAGGATGCAACTTGTGGAAAGCAGAGCTGTTAGAGTTATGAGAAGGATAAAGGAAGCTGCCGTAGCTTCCCTGGAAAGAGGGGAAGAGAATAGCAGCATTTGGAGCACCAAGGATGGAAACAGGATTTATTAATTAAAAAGAATTGGTCCAAGGACTAAGCAGCCTAAACCAGAGCCAAGAAGAGAAGGGGGGAATTAGTTAGAACAGGGCAAGACCAAAAGAGAGAATAAGGGGCTGGCCACCGCCAGACCCAAGTTACAGTCCAGGGCGCTCGCTGCTCCTGTTGAAATAGCAGGGAGGAATGGGGGGCGGCCAAAGCTGGGAAAAGGTGGGCAGATACTTGGTAATACGAGGGCACTGGGGTGTCCATTTTAGAAAAAGACAGGAATTCCTTTGAAAAGCTGTGAGCTCTCATTACCAGTTTGACAAATCTAATCTCAACCAGAAGAGCAGACCATAGTAATGAAAAAATTGGTGGGAAATGATAGAAGTCAACCCCCTAAGATGGGGCGGCGGTGTTTATACTGATGGGGGGTTATTCCCAGATGAGAAGAAGAGTGGGTTCCCACCTCATAGCTTCACCCAGTGTGGAAGGAACACCTATAAGACTGTGTAGAAATATGGTCTCCTGGATTAAAAAAAAAAATGATACAGGAAAACAGATGTTAGAGAAATAAGGCCGAGTCCAGGCTATAGCCCTTATTGGGCTCCGGTTTCTTCTAGGTCTGAGTAAGAGGAAGCAAGGACTTGAAGTGCAGCTTGAAGAATTTAAGTTAGACGCAAAAGAGAACTTTCTGACAATGAGGGATTTTCTCATCAGAACGGTCTATTTAATGAAATGATAGCTGGTTCTTCTGAAGTGGTCTCTTTAGAAATGAGAGAAATCTCACCTCTCTGAAGTGGTTGTGTGTGAAACAGCTAACAGCAGAGGGTGTCTCAATGACCTCTTAAGGCAGCCCCAGATTCACTCAGTCATCCGTGGCACACACACTAGAGAAGAGGAAAACGGGTCGAGATTTCTTCTGCCAACTGTTGACCAGGGGCTCTTAAAAGTGCTCCGGTAGGAATTATGTCAAGATTGGCGTCTAAAGATCAGATAGGAATTTTGTATTAAAAAAAAAACCCTGAAAACAGTTTTCTTCCTTACATTTCTTCCTTCTTTATAGCGTGGATTTTTGCCCCATTGCTGCCATGTGCTCCCTTTGCTTGGATGCGTGTCCATGTCCTAAAACTGAGCAGGGATCCTGGACTCCGGAACACTGTCAGTGAGCATATCGCCCAGACGTGTGCCTCCCACTCCAAGAGGACAGGACGAGAGGAGGCAGTGAGGTGTGGGTTGGCTGGTTCCAGACACAAGACAAGCTGTGAATGAAGGAGGAAGCCCTCTCCCCTGTGACGCAGATGGCTGGTGGGAAAGGAGGCTTGGTAGGCTGGAGCAGAGGAGAGAGGGAAGGACCAGAGATAGAAAGATTAGAGATGGCCATCCCCAGGAAAGACAACTGGCACGCTCAGTACTTGGAGTAGAATGAAGGGGAAGACCCAAGGGCACAGTAATGCTGTAGGGCTGACCTGGAAAGGTGATTTGCACAAGCCTAGAGGGCGGTTGAATCAGAGAAGGTCAAAAAATGGACACTGATGTGTGGGGTTGAACAAGGCTTAGCAAATGGCTTGGCTCCGTGAACGGATAATTGGGATGAGCTTTTATGCAGTGGTTTACTCTACAGAGTTACTATGCGGTACTTACACTCTGCAGAGGCGGGTTGGCGTGAGTTTGCTTATGGGGAGATAACACTTATTTCTACTTGCCCGTTACATCCTAGAACGTGCTGCTTTTGCCTCTGCTCACCTATGTGACCTCCTCCCAGAGTTGGGAGGAAGTGATAACCATCGTTTCATCCGTGGTTTATTTTAGGACTTAATTACTGTAGGTTGCCCCTCAAAGCATGGTGTTTAGA